GAGTTTTAAACCTTTCAAGAAAAATGATCGAGTGGGATTCATTTTAGGTAGTGGGAAAGTCACTCACTTTTGGTGACACCAGTTAACACAGAAAGCTGGCTGGGTTTCACCATTAAGCACCAGGGTTTTTCCTACTGTGGTGCTGGGGAAACCTGGCTGGGTGGGTCACTCAAGGACAGCACAAACAATTTAATGAATGAAGCACATGAGACTTTTCCCTACGGACTTAGAGAATATCTCCCAAATAAAGATTGATTTATTTTTTTAAAATGAAACAGCGGTCAAAACGTAACCAGAATTTTGTTCAAGTTTAAGCCTCTCGTGGAAAAATACAGCACACGGCCACAGAAGTATCTGGCAAAAGTTAGCCCAGTATAGCTGCTGTCATTATTCTCTGCATTGCTACTCTACAAAACAGTTGGATTTCCAGATCTCTCCCCTGACTTATACCAGACCCTACCACATGTTTCCTTTTGCCCTCTTCAGATGTGCTTCCATCAGATTGTGTCTTACTGTTCCTGCTAGTGTACACTGAGCTCCTGGGGCATGCAGGGCCTACTGTGAGGCTCCTGCTCCCAGGACATCCTGCAGCTCAGGTTTCCAACTTGGAAGCAATTGCAATACCACTTCTATTGCTAGGAACTCCCTTCAATAAGTTCTCTGGCCTCACTTGGGAGATGAACGTTTTGCATGACTTTTGAGGTTCCTGTGCCTTTTTGACTGTGGTTTTTATCTGCTTGGTAATCTATTTTTTTCCCCCCATGTGATTTCAAGCTAGATTCACTTGGCAGGAAGTGAACCTTGACACTGTCAGTTTGTGCATAGTTTGAGTCAGGCAGAAAGCAGGAGGTAGAAAATGTTCTTTTAAAAGATACGTTTCCCTTCTCAAGTTCCTGTAGACTTGCAGTTATCTGAGCACTTTAGAGGGGTTACAACTTCAAATGCATCTAGGGCCCACCCAGGCAGGTACCTCAGCATCTGAAACAATCATATGCAAAGCAATAAGAAGTAATTAGACCTATGGCAAAATAGAAACATTCTTAGAGGGCTTCTTTTCAAAGAATATGCTGCCCAGTTTCATGATCTTTGAATATATAATACTGTCTACAGGCCAGTTTCTAAGACTATCAGAGTTTAATAGCATCTGACATTGGTTTATAGTGGGCACACTTTTAAAAAAATATTTTTTTTAATGATTTTTTTACAGAGAGGAAGAGAGAAGGATAGAGAGTTAGAAACATCAATGAGAGAGAATCATCGATCAGCTGCCTCTTGCACACCCCCTACTGGGGATGTGCCCACAACCAAGGTACATGCCCTTGACCAGAATCGAACCTGGGACCTTTCAGTTTGCAGACTGACACTCTATCTACTGAGCCAAGCTGGTTTCAGCATATAGTGGGCACACTTTTAAGGGTTCAAATAAGTTTGAACCCTTAAAAGCAGCCAACTTCTTATAAAATTACAACATAGCAAAACAAAAAAATGTAAAGGACATTTAATTATGGTTGGCTTTATGTGAAGGATGGATGGATAAGTCAGTTTTTTTCTTTATGCTTTATGTTCATTTTTTTTTACAATTGCATAAAGCTTCTCTATGCACTATCCCATCCACCAAATTGCCCAGTGGAAGGAAGCCGGATGAAACAAACCAAACTCCAAAGGATATCCTCAAGTTGAATAGGTTTCTAAACTTTTACTGTTTCTCATTTCACTTTTCTGAGGCTGGAAAAGGGAGCTCAAATTTTATTCTGAAGATTAAACTATTCAAGGGTTGAAGAAGGTGTCTAGAAAGGAAACTAGACTCATTGTGGCTGGAGATTTTATTTGGTGATAGTCAAGCAAACTTCATTGATTTCTAATTGAGTTTTTGCTTTGGGCCCACCAGCCTTCATAGGACTGTAAGCTAAAAAAGACTACCATAGTGGTACTTAATCAGGTTGCTACTTAGAACAGGAGAACTTGAAAGTCTTGGGTTGTTTTGGAAATGGTTGGTGAAATCCACACCAGAAGATTTATTTGCCCATTTTGTGTGCCAGTGACTTGTAAGTTTTAAGTTTGTCACAATAGCCAGAAACGTCAACAATGTGTTTCCACGTAAAGTATTTGAGAATTGTGTACCATTTTTCTCATTGTGCCTTCTGAGTTCATTTTAAAGATGTAACAATTTAGCTTTTAGAATACTGTTATTAGGATAGGTTTACTTATTTCAATGTAGGGTCAATACACAAAATTAGGGTATTTTTTAAAAGCATCTTGGAATTTACTTTTTTAAAAATTTATTTTATTTTTTATTTCAGAGAAGAAGGGAGAAGGAAAGAGAGATAGAAACATCGATGGTGAGAGAAAATCATTGATTAGCTGCCCTCCTGCATTCCCCCTTCTGGGCTCGAGTCAGCACCCTGGGCTTGTGCCCTTGACCGGAATCAAACCCAGGACCCTTCAGTCTGCAGGCCAACTTTCTATCCAATGAGCCACACTGGCTAGGGCATGGATTTTACTTTTAAGTATTATTTCAATTCTGGGAAGGAATCAGAAGTTTAACACTTAATGCGTGCACAATTATGTATTTTTGTTTTCTTTCATGATGATGTTTAATCTCAACATAATGACTCAGTTTCCTATTGTAAACTCTTCGTAGGATGTCACTGACTTTATCAGTCAGTTGTTCATGCAGCTGGGAACTGTGGGAATATATGATTTACCATGTCAGAGGAACAAACTGGGTGAGCGCCACTGAACTGTTTTTAATTTTTCTTTCTAAAAGCAAGCTTCCCTTCTCCTGGTGGCTTACGCACATTGATCTGTCTCTGTTCATCAGGGAGATGGAGAGGAGACTGGAAAGAGGATGGTTTTCTTGTAGATTTCTTGCTTGAGCCTGCTTCCTTGCTGCCTTTTACATGCCTGCATTATTTTGTGTGAGTTTTGACTTTGACATGTTCTGTATGCACACATCAGATGAGCTCTTCCAGGAATGATGCTTACAACATAAATAGACATGAACCCGAAAAGGTCAAGACCCAATTAAGAAAAGATTGACTTTAAGTTCTGTTCAAATCCTTGAAGTAGCAGTGCTCCCTCGAGTTGTTCATTTTTTTCCTTCTTAAAAAAGACTCTCGAGGGAACCGTGCGAGGCCAAGGCATCTGAAGGCTGTCTTCCATTAGAGCAGGTGGCTCTTCCGGAGACATTGACATGCTCATCCCTTATTCCTGTGAGACGTAACCCATCTTTTAAAAAATTGCTCCTTCTCAGAACATAAACTGTGCACTGGAAGAAGGGGATATTTTTCACTCTTTACATTCTCACACTTGCAGACCGGATGTTTAAATCTTTGCTCATGCTGGGCCCATTCATTTACATGTCCAGAATTTTGTTGGAAAAATGGGCGGTTAGAGAGTCAAGTTGATAGGGACTTACCCTTCCTTGAATTTTAACAACATCCCCTCCCCCCCCCTTTCCCTTCCTCCTTTACTTAGCTCTGAAGTACCAGAAGCAAGGTATGAAAGATGGAACTGGCTAAAGCCTCATCTTAGGACAGCATAATGGCCCCACAGTGGTCCGCACATCTGCCAGTGAGGATTGCTCCTTGGGTATAATATTGCATCTTGGTTTCACTTTAGGGGTCATTCCAGGCAGCCACCAATACAGATCAAAGTGAAAATGAGAGCTGAAACCAAGCAGCTGGTTCTCACGAGTTCTTTTTGGTCATTGAATAATTTTCTTTATTTCAGAACTCCTCAGAATCTTTCCTGTAATATATGGTGATAGTTTAGGAGAAAGATATAATAGAAAATAGGAAGATATCATGGGAAATTTTCTGTTTGTTTTTACCTTACAAAAAAAAGTAAAGTATTCTTGGAATACAGTTTATGCACTTTTGGCTTCAAACTCTCACTCTTCCCCCTCATGATGGAGACAGCAGTGAAAAGGACAGTCCCTCTTATTTGCTCTTAAATGAATGATAAATAGTCCTGTACCTGGAATATGGGTCCAAGCGGCACTAAGCCTGCATTTAGCATTGTCAGGCATACATGCTAATAATGTACCTAGGTTGCCATATTAGCCTGTTTCTTTTCTTTTTCTTTTTTTTTTAAAATATATTTTATTGATTTTTTACAGAGAGGGATGGAAAAGGAGAGGATTAGAGAGTTAGAAACACAAATGATAGAGAAACAGCGATTCAGCTGCCTCCTACACACTCCCGACTGGGGATGTGCCCACAACCAAGGTGCATGCCCTTGACAGGAATTGAACCTGGGATCCTTCAGCCTGCAGGCTAATGCTCTATCCACTGAGCCAAAGCAGTTAGGGCTAGCCTGTTTCTTAAGTACATTTCCAAAGTGTATTTGGCTTGTACAGTGGCCGTTCATTTCAAATGCATCTGCATGTGCTTCTTAAGCCTGTTGACTGCATGGGCACTGCCTGTTGCTTCAGCTTTCAGCTTTTGAGAATGGCAGCTTTTGGTGAATGTCATAAGCAGCATTAAAAAAGCACAGCAAAAAAAACCAGCATCGGGTATTTTTTTTTTTTTTTTTTTTTTTTTTTTACCTAAAGAAATTACTATGGTTAAGCATTGTGAAGAGACAGTATTAACTCCAGTTTTCATTGTCTTGTAGTTATTACGTAGAGCATCTGTTGAGGGGCTCTTTTAAAACCACAGCCCCAAGCAGGCTTTGGGGCTGAGAGGCAGAGCAGCATGCCACACTGGACCACCTACCTCTAACCGCTAGCGGAGGCCCCCGGCCGCCACAGAGCCCTCCGGAGTCTGTCTGTGCATGTAGAATGCAGAGGAGGCCTGGGGACCTACCTCCATGGCAGCTGCCCTCCTGAACTGTCCGTGGGAAGCAGCCACCGCCATTCTGGACCGGGAACCGCCAGAGATCACAATGAACACTAGCGCTGAGACTGCGCAGGAGAAAGAAAAAACTTTTCTGGAATTCTTAGGTGGCTTCACCATGCAGCCTTTGAGGAAAAGGAACAATATGCAACCTAAGTTTTATTCTCTTTTGAACACTCTTCTCCTGAGGGGCCCAGCACCCGTGGTAAGGAGAAAATAAGGCCTCCGGATATCTTGGATGCTGAGCTATGTTATTGGTGGGGAGATGATCCCATGGAAGAGGCTTTTCTGAGAGAAACAAGCTGGTGAAGGGTATCTTTTTGTAGATCATTAGCCCTGGCCAAAAAGATGAAAACATTTTATGTTTATTTTATGTTTTCTTTGGGTGCCAGCCTTGTGCCAAGAATTTGAGGTACTTTACCTTTCAGAAACCCTATACCGTACACATCACTAGCTTTCTTTCATAGTTTTGTTACAGAAAACCGAAGAAGAACAAAGCAATACTAGCGGGTCCAGAGGAAAATGTATCTCAAATTCTGGGCCCCAACATGCAGGAATTCTCCCTGTTTATATGACTTTACCTTCTTTGTCTCCCAAATATGGAGTGTTTCCGGCCCCCTTTTGCAAGTTCTTAAAGAGCCAGTGTGTACTGGGGCCTTGAGACCTCAACCAGAGGCCTGCCCTGGCGCCAGCACTGATGACTTTGTCTGGGGAAGGTTAAATCCACAGAAGCCAAATAGCAGGGTTAAAAGTTTCAAACAGCAGTTTTCACACAAGATGGATGCTTCAGTTTGGCATAGTCTCATGTAGTTCCTAAGCTTACACAGCTTAAGAGTTAAACGATAAGGGCTAGTCTTGCAAACCTAAGAAGCATTTCCTTGTTCTGTACTCTGAACATTTATTTTGATAATGGAAGAAGAGGAGATTGGGTGGGTGTGAAAGGGCAAATATATGCAAAAAAAAAAAAAAAAAAAAAAAAGCCCTTCACATGTACCTGGAGTCACATTTGGGTAGACTTCCTGGTGAGCCCCCGTCTGTAAACATCACAAACGTGAGTTTAATGGGATAGAATGTCCACTGCATTGGCTCCTGTTGAGATTTTAGAAGAAGAATTGGCTCGAAACTCAGGTTTCCTTTCCAAACGAGGCGACTCACTTTCTTTCCCAAGCCAGGGTCCTGTCATCTGAGACCAAAAAAATTACCTTCTCCTTCCCTTTTGTAGTCCCTCAAAGTGGAAGGAGAGTTTTGTAATCTTCAAATTAAGTACAACTTAAGTACCTTTGCCAAGTTCACTTTTAATACCGCTATTGTGCACACCGATTGCTATCATCCCGCTCTTTCCTGCTAAACAATGGACTAGTTTCCTCCTCAGTTGTTCGGAGCTGATTAATAACATGTGGGGCTCCACCTAATTCATCTTGTCTGGGAGGCCTTCCCTCCCACATCCCAGCTTGAATGGAGGAGTCTTTCCCTAGGTAGCAGGTTGCCATCATTGCATCATGAGCTCAGAGAACTCCTTTAGCACCTGAGAGGTCCTGTTTAGCAGCTCTGGGAAGGTGATAGCTTAAAAAGGCGAAAGATTTATGCGGTCTGAAGAGAAACCAGAGCATGGAAGGTGATAGCTTATAAAGGAGAAGTAACGGCACAGCCGACTACTACCTGGATACTTTCTTCCATCCTACCTCTGGACCTGATCATCTGTCTTCACTCAGGGCCTTCATACCACCTCTGTGAAACCCTCCCCAGCTCTTTCTGCTGGTGTGAGAAATGCCATTATTTTGGTTCTCATTGTGCTACGCAGGTACCTCTGCTCAGGTAGTACTAACCCTGCTGGGTTGGAATGATGTGACAGCATGTCTTCATCTTTTTTCCAGACTGAACTTATTTCCCTGGATATCTTAAGCACTATGCCCATAGAAATAGGGGCCTCAGAGATTAACCATGCTTCTCTTGTCCTTTCAAAGATTTCTCACAAGATAATTCTATAGAGTATAAATCAGGGATGGTACTATGTTTATATTTTTGGTTCTCTGCTCTAAGATAGATATATCAGGTTACCTGTCTCCAGAGTCTTGAGAGAGTTGTATGTTTTCAAACTGATTTTCGTGATGTAAATTGCGACAAAGCAACCAATATGTGTAAAGATGTATTATGGAATTTAAAATCACCTCTAAAGTAATTTGTTTGTTTCTCTGAGAGTAACTGCATCTGAACCAGGGGTGGAGAACATCTGGCCTGTGGCCTTATAAGGGCAGCAAAATTATTTGGTCTGGCCCTGCCAAGGCATTAGGGTGAGTTCATTAAATGTTTGCCCAGATGTAGCAGGCCAATTTTTAAGTTGATAATTTTAAATGGCCCTCAAATGATGTTATAAATATCCAAATGGTCTTGGCAGAAGAAAAAGTTCTTTACTGCTAACCTAAATGTTGGTTTTGATTATGGAAGAAGAGAAAATTTTGTGGGTATGAAACTGAAAATATATGTGTTAAAAGGGCCAGCTAACATGGCTCAGTGGTTGAGCATTGAGCTATGAATCAGAAGATTATGGTTCAATTCCTGGTCAGGGCACATACCCGGGTTGTTGGCTCGATCCCCAGTATGGGGCATGCAGGAGGCAGCCAATCAATGATTCTTTCTCATCATTGATGTTTCCATCTCTGTCTCCCTCTCCATACTTCTCTGCAATCAATAAAAATATATTTAAAAAAGAGAGAGAGCGAGCGAGTGCACATGGTAATGTACTACTTAGCATTCTCTGTTGTAATTGCCCGTTTGTCATCTCCCCGGTCTTTAAACTCCATGATGGCAGAGGTCAACTCTGTATTACTGACCATTTTATTCCCTCTGTATAGTACAATATATGGAAATAATAGAGCTTCAATAAATATATATTTGTAAAATCAAGAGAATTGAAAGATATGTCATTGTGTTGTCCTGTTTTATGGATGTTTCTGGACATTGTTGCCTTTGAGTCCTCTGAGCCTGTGGTGGACCCTCAGGTCTTATTTGTAGAATGACTGTAGAAAACAGATTAGGTTACTGACATTTTATTCTGTTTATTTATTTATGTTTTAACTTTTGGGTGAAACTACAGAGGTCAAGGTAGGACTCAAAGTTAAAAAGAGTGAACTTTCAGAAGGACTGAAAACTAAATTAGCTGTCAGGGGAAATAGCTCTATGACTGCAGTGGTTCTCCAAACCCTGGAGAATCAACTAGCCTGGGATGCTGTAGGTTATGCTGCAATCCTGTTACATACGGCCAGCTAAAAGTAAGATTAAAGCTAACATTTCTTTCAACCTCATAGTTTTAAGGATTTATGAGTGAGGGATGTAAAGTACAACATAAGGAATATAGTCTATAATACTGTAATAACTATGGATGATGTTAGATGAGTACTAGACTTTTGAGGTGACTGGAAACTAATATATTACTGTATGTCAACTTTAATTGAAAAATAAATTTAAAATAAAAAGTGTTTATGAGCAAGTAAGTGATGAATGAGCCAGTGATTTTGGCTACTTTGCTGAGTGGTAAATTGCTCTGTCTTCTTTTTAACTAGTTTTAGATCATATATTTTGGCTCTAACTGATTGTCTTTTCAGTACTGGAAATAAATTTATGACCCTCCATTTTTCCATTGTAAATCTAGCTCCTAATTTCTTCAGTTAAGTGCTGGAAGTTATTTGGTTACAATGTGAACAGTTTCATAATTCATTAAAATTCAACAAAAACAATGGTTAAGTCTATTTAGCAAGCAAAAAACTAGAGCAAATCCTTGAAACTAACATAGGGAAGTTTGTTTCTTTAGAAGAAAGATCTACTTTTGCTTGGCCAGAGCGACTCAGTTGAGTGTCATCCCATGCACTGAAAGGTTGCAAGTTCAGATCCTGGTCAGGACACATACCTGGGTTGCAGTTTGATCCCCCGGTCAAGGAGCATAGGAAGACAACCCATTGCTCTTTCTGTCTTCCTCCCTGCCCCTCTCTTTCTTTTATATCCTCCAGTGAAGATTAAAAAAAAAATGCTGTACTCTTGGGTGGGTTTGGTAAAATATCAATTTGGTAAAATGTGCCTTGCTCTCTCTTGTTGCCATCTAGCAGTTTTACTCACCTCCAGACTAAGTGATTAGTATTGAAATATTACAATAATTAATACATAAGAATTAACTTAAAAACCTTCTTTGCCCAACTCATTATATATTCATTAGAACAAGGGCAAAAATTGAATAAACATTCTTTATCTTGAAGTAATGCCAGAATGTAATATCTCTTCATATGTGGTTTACCATTAAATAATTTCTCTTTTCTGAAATGGTGAATGATCTGGATATCTAGATGTCCAAATTTGTATCCCCATTGTTACAGATGGTAGTGTTTATATTGTTACTTGTTTAGTACTTTTTAAACACTTCAAATTTCAATGTCACCTTTATCCTTTATAGTAATCCAATGAAATAGTTATTCCCATTTTCACATGAAGAAATCAAGGATTCCTAGTTATGACTTGCTCATGAATAATTGGCAGAACAAGGAATTATAGGTCAAAGTCCTTTTCAATAAACTGCATTTGTTTCATAGTCAATACATTACATTTCAAATATTTGCTAAGTATATTATTTATGAGAGAAACAGTGGAACAAGGTGTGATTTTTCTCCCCTCTGTGTGTCAATAAGCAGTTGAGAAAGAAATCCCTGCTAAATAAGTTATAAAATAGGGCAATCTGTTTTGTTTTTTTAATTGGTTAATATTTCTTAGTAGAGCTAATTGAATAGTGGATAGGATAAGTGGGAAGTAGAAGAAGGATTTTTTATTTTATTTTATTGATTTTTTACAGAGAGGAAGGGAGAGAAACAGTTAGAAACATCAATGAGAGAGAAAAACATCGATCAGCTGCCTCCTGCTGCACACCCCCTATTTGGGGGTGTGCCCACAACCAGGGTACATGTCCTTGACCAGAATCGAACCCGGGACCCTTCAGTCCGCAGGCTGGCGCTCTGAAGAAGGATTTTTTTTTTTTTTTTTTTTTTTTTTTTTTTTTATGAACGCTTGGCAACCCAGTAGTAATTTTGAAGAAGCAAATGGATAGTTATTGAATCCTAGTAGTTTTCTAAACTTAAGTGTAAGGGTTTGGAGGTTCTTCAAATTTTATGAGATTATCTACTTTGCTGCAATAGAAATTGGCATAAGTGAATAGAAACTTAAATAACTCCATCTGTGCAAAGCAGTATTCAGAGACTAATGTTTATACAAAAGAAATAAAACGCTTAGAAGAAAAATTTTGGCTACATTTCATTCAAGATTTCAGCTTCTTAATTGGTAATAATGTCAGAAACCACATAAGAAATATTTCACAATAGTAGGAAAACTGACAGATAGCCTGGGAACATTCAAACCAAGAAGATAACCGGGGTATTATGTGTGGTCCTCTCAAATTAAGGTACTGTGTACTTGGCTTCTGGAGGGTAAGTGCCTCATTCCTTCTAAGTTGAAGCTGTCTTGCATAGCATTGTTCCAGTCCTGTCCTACCTTTTATAAGGTAATTTCAGATTCTTATAAAATATACCAAAAAACCCCAACAAATTATTTTAAGTGGGGAAAAACTGCAGAATCCTATCTAATATGCAAATTGCCATTACTGCAACTCACAAGATGGCCACCACCATGTGGTCAAACAAAGATGGCTGCCCCATGTGGTCACAAGATGGCCACCATGAGATGGCCTGCAGGGGAGGGCAGTTAGGGGCGACCAGGCCTGCAGGGGAGGGCATTTGGGGGCAACGAGGCCAACAGTGGTGGGCAGTTAGGGGCAATTGGGTTGGCAGGGGAGCAGGCGTCTTCAAACTACGGCCCGCGGGCCACATGTGGCCCGCAGAGGAGTCTGATCCGGCCCGCCAGGTTTTTTGGGCAGTGAGCGCAGCCGAGGTGTTACAGTAGGAATTAGTAGTTCATATAGTCCGGCCCTCCAGCTCTCTGAGGGACCGTGATCTGGCCCCCACTTTAAAAAGTTTGAGGACCCCTGGATTAGGGGGTGATCAGGCTGGCAGGCAGAAGCAGTTAGGGGCAATCAGGCAGGCAGGCAGGCTGGCAGGCGAGCAGTTGGGAGCCAGCAGTCCTGAATTGTGAGAGGGCAGTCAGACATCCCTCAAGGGGTCCTAGATTAGAGAGGGTACAGGCTGGGCTGAGGGACACCCCCAACCCCCTGTGCATGAATGTCATGCACCAGGCCTCTAGTAATATAAAATAACATTTAATTTATTTTTTTAGAGTTAGAATTATATTTCTCATAAAAAGCTGTATATCAACAATGAAGATTTTTTTTCACTTTATTTTTAACTGAGAATTTTGGCACAAAGCCAAGAAAGAGTGTGCTTTATGAAAAACACAATGTTGACTTTTCCATAACTTGGCTCTCTCAAGTAGAAAGTTATTTTCTAGTAATGAAAATACAATATTATTTACATTTGAATAATAATCATATTTGAATTAGTCACATCATTGTTATGATAGGAATTATCCCTCTCAAAAGTGGAAATGGGAAGTAGTGATTATGAAAACAATTTTCAAGGACCTCTTAGTTCCCCCAGTATGCAAATGAGATGATAACATGCAAATGTCGAAACATCCTAATCAGTCCTTTAAAAATAAATCATTTCTGGCTCCTACCAATGGAATGCACTCTCAGGAAAGATCTGGGAGCCAATATTTGATCTTCCCCAGTAAGATCAGGGCCTTTCTGTTGCGCTTGCATTCTACAGATGGGAAACTTCAAACCTGGACTCTATCTTTTAAAACCTTCTTTGCTGATTGTAGCTATAATACATCTTGCTCTTCCTTGTTTGTTTTTCTGGGCTCTGACCTCCAGTGTCTCACTCACACCAAAAAGTTTCTTCAAGAAGGGAATCTAGCCGAAACCGGTTTGGCTCAGTGGTAGAGCATCAGTCTGCGGACTGAAAGGTCCCAGGTTCGATTCCGGTCAAGGGCATGTACATTGGTTGCGGGCACATCCCCAGTAGTGGGTGTGCAAGAGGCAGCTGGTCGATGTTTCTCTCTCATCGACGTTTCTAGCTCTCTATCTCCCTCCCTTCCTCTCTGTGAAAAATCAATAAAATATATTTTTTTTAAAAAGGGAATCTATGTCCATCCAGAATGGCTCAAGTTGGTGAGAGCATTGTCCAGTTCACTGATGGGTTGTTGTTGGTTCAATTCCTGGTCAGGGCACATACTGGGGTTTGGGTTTGATCCCTGGTCGGTGTTTTTCTCTCTCCCTTCTTCTCTCTAAACATGTCCTTGAATGAGGTGTTTGTTTTGTTTTGTTTGGCTGTGATAAAATTGTTTTGTTTTTATTCCCCTCATTTTTTATTAAGGTATTATATGTGTACATATCTTACCTTTGCTCCCCCCCCCCCATTCCAATTCCCTCACCCACCAGAGTTTTGCGTCCATTGGTTATGTTTATATGCATGCATACAAATCCTTCGGTTGATCTGTTATCTCCCCAGCTCTCCCTAACCTTCCCACTGTAATTTGACAGTCTGTTTGATGCTTTACTGCCTTGGAATCTATCTTTTTGTTCATCAGTTTAAATGTTCTTTATTATCTATAAATGAGTAAGATCATTTTCTTTCATTGACTGGTTTATTTCACTTAGCATAATGTTCTCCAGTTCCATCCAGGTTGCTGCAAATAGTAAGAATTCCTTCTTTTTTATGGCAGCATAGTATTCCATTGTATAGATATACCATAGTTTTCTGATCCAGTTATCTGCTGATGGGCACTTAGGCTGTTTCCAAATCTTAGCTATTGTAAATTGTGCTGCTATGAACATAGGGGTACATATATCCTTTCTGATTGATGTTTCCAGTTACTTGGGGTATATTCCTAACAGTGGGATTACTGGGTCAAAT